GGCGCCCAACGTGAAGGCCTTCCTAAGGACAAAAATAACGATAACTTCCACAGAAACTCAACGATCATTAGATTCAAAATCTGTATTACTTTTCTTTCAATTTTCAACAAATTTGCTTCTCTTGACTTTGAATTGTTCGAGAAACTTATATCAGAAGACTCTGGTGTTCTGAGGGTCCGAAATTCATTTCAGGAGCAGAGATTTGCCCATCTGTCTTCTGTCATGGAACTCAGTGCAAAGAATCACAGAGAACGACAAACTTCGGTTTTTTCTCTAACCTGTTACTGAGGTACCATCCTAATCAATTAGAAGCTTGCCTAGAGGCTCATACGAATAGGAATATAGAGACGTTTTAACAGAGAGATGTCCTAACCACGTGTGACTTCCGGGAAAGTCTAATTTCCTCCCTTTTCTGAGAGGTTAAACATTTTGGTTGTGCTGCATCAGGAAAACCACATAGATCGGTTCTACATCGTATTGGGTCCGATGCAACATAAGTGAAAGAGTTACTACTAGGGTTGTTGGTTTTTAAAAAAATATCGTATTGATGATATTTGCAGTGAAAAAAATATCAATCGATAATATTAAGAAATATCACATAAAAAAATCGATATATCGAGTATTTTTGATATTTTTTATGGTCAGCTAAAATTGAAAAAAGGTTATTTGTAAATTTAAAAAAGGTTTTAATATGTGTTTTCATCCGCCATGAACTGCAAATAAGAGCTATTTTTTATTTAAAAAGTGAATTTAAAAAACAACAAATATTTATACCCACTCTCAAGCAACTTTTATTTACGTTATTTGAAATAAAAAATAACAAAATTATTAAGGACATTGTATTCAAATTTAATTATAAAAAAACTTAATATAAAAAAAAAAGTTTTTTAAAACTTAATTAATTTATGGAATATGTACTAAATAATGCTAATTACCTAATTATCTTATTTAATGCTCCTAATTACTCTTAATTACAAAACAAATCTTTCTTGAATGATTTAAAAAAAACTCTTTCGGTTATATGCTGGTCTGTCATTCGACTACGGGAGTCACAGACAATACATTTAATGGCAGAAGCCAACCGTTCAGATGGAACCGTACTTCCAGGCGTGATAAGATAACTTAATGCCAATTTCTGGCTTAAGAGTGACCAAACATAAAATATCGGAAATACCAACTCAAAAATATTATTATCGACTATTTTTGCCCAAAAAAATATTCCGATAATAAAATTTTTTTTAGAGAAAATATATCGATATATGGATATTTTGATATATTTCCGACATCCCTAGTTACTACTCTCCCTAAACAGCTCAGCCGCTTAAAAACCTTAAGTTTTCAGGGCCTATGTCTTAAAAAAATCATTTTAGAGATTCGATTAAAATTAAATTTCACCCGACATTAGAGGATTTCAGAAGCGAAGTTCAGTTAGTTGACGTACCATTTTGTATTTTTTTTTCCGATTTAACAGAGGTTAGGATAGATCAATATGGAATAGGGAAGAAAATAAAATTGTTACAAACTATAAACATTACTTAGTCATGATGGGCTTGGATAGATCACCCGACCGTGGCTCTCAAGAAGCGCCAAAACTAGGTTGCCAACTTTGCAAAAACGAAATCAAATCCGCAGCCGAACTTTTTGAAACCACTTGTCATCACGAGTTCCACAAGAAATGCATCAATGCGCATTTTAAAAAAAGCGACAATTGCCCTGTATGCAAGAGTATCTGCAGGTAGTATCGGTAGTCGAAGGTCTTCAAACGCGATCTCAATCAAGATCCCGTCAGACAGAGAGTAGCCAGGAAAGGACACCTACTGACGACTTCCCGAAACACTGAGGCAGCTAACCTGAGGAACAACGATCCAACCAGCATGGCAAATGCAATTACACAGCTAGCTATGGAGAGGTGACTGCTCACCATATTGACGGAGAACATGGCCGAACTGGCTTAAACGTCCGTGTTAGACAATATGGAAAGACTGATAGCAACGCCTGCCAACTCCGCCGTGAGCAGGGAAGTTAGAGGTTAGAGAACATACAGCAACCGAACGTAGAGGAAACAATGGCTCCCACCACAATACCGACGACACCACAATATGTCTCCCCAACGAAGCACAATATCCGATCTAGGAAAACGACCAGACAAAGTTGGACATATCCTAAATGGGTGGAAGCTCAAGTTCTCCGGAACCGGCGTGCCGATAGACGATTTCATCTACCGTGTGGAGGCACTGACTCATCAGACACTGGATGGGAATTTCGCGGTGTTGTGCCGCAACGTCAGCGTGTTATTTGAAGGTAAGGCTACGGAATTCTATTGTTATCTATAATCTATATCTCTATCTATATCTATATCTTCTATTGGATCGGTTATGTTCAGCGCTCCGCTTACAATTCCGTCAAAACCGAAAAGAAAAGACAAAATTTACCTAAGATGACAAAACTAGAAAGATTACCTGAGCCTCCCATTAATTTGCGAAAGGACCGCAATTCGAGAAGGATTAAAACATATTGGAAGAATATCGAAAAGTGTAAGAACGGATTGAGACACATATGCTCTGTTCCTTCTAGTAAAAGAGATCTTCGTCCGTTTCTGCCAGTTCAACTATTAGAGCGCACCGTTTATGGACTTCTTGATTCAGGAGCTTCGATAAGTTGTATCGGGGATAAGTTAGCAGCGGAACTAATGGAGATGAAGAACACTTACAAGCCGGTGAACGTCAATGCCAGTACCGCAGATGGAAGAGCACAACGGATAACTGGCAAACTTACAACCATCGTGGAATACAACAACATCAGCAAGCCGGTAGAGTTATACCACTAACCATACAGCATATAGACAACCCATTTCATACAACGAAAATGAACGCAAAAATTTCTTGCGACAGGCCCCAGCAGGCCCCAGAGCGGATTTCTTACGCTCATCGTTCGTTCATCTTACGCTCATTCTCTCATTAAATTAGGGATGCAGATTCGACGGAAAACCTCGATGTCGATGCCCGTCGATGTTTTCAAAATAACCATCGATGCATCACTTAACATCGGTATAAAAATAAACATCGAAAAACCTCGGAAAACATCGCAAAACAAAACATCTATGTTCGATGAATTTTGAAATAAATTAAAAAAAGATTTGTACTATTAGTTTGTTTATGAGTAAATACTTTAAACAAACTCGTAGTGACTATATATTTCTTTATTTTTTAGATATTTAAAGCACAAAACTTAAAAAAATTATAGGCACAAAAACTTAAAAAATAATAATGCTTTCATAGCAGTTTTTTGATTTAGATGGAGACTATAAATAGGCAAAAACTTAAAAAATAATAATAAAATAAAAAGTCTTGATTTAGATTGAGATTATAAATAGGCAAAAACATAAATTATAATAAAACTTTCATAGCAGTCTTAATTTTGTCTTAGTCATTTAAATTAGAAAAATAATATTTTTTGTTGACGCTTTTTAAAATGCAATTTCTTGAAACGCGGATCTAGAACCGTTGCCATTGATAGAATTGAAACCTAAAACAATACATAGAAAATAAATATTAACACTAAAATATATCAGAGTTCAATCATACCTGCTCGATTGCGACCATACGCTTATCAATTTCATTTAGCAGGAATTCCTCTATAAGGATTGCATTTGCCATGTTCGGTGTAACATTAGCCAATTTTTCTTTCAAAATGTTCACCATTGGAATTATGGTGCTAGCTGTGCAATAAGAATCTCCACTAACTATTTTTGTTGCTTCCTCAATCGGGCTAAGCAGTGGGATTATATCATTAAGGGGTTATATACCTTTTTTATTTTCAAAAAATCGAAAATTTTTTTATTGCTTTATCTTGAAGATCAACTCCTTAAGAACATTTTCCCAAATTTTCATAGGGATTGGAGCAGTAGAAAAAAAGTTACAGCGCTCCTAACCGTGCGCCTTGTCCCGGTCTTGAACTGAACTTGAAACTTTAAACGCGAATATCTCGAAATAGTGTTTCTGAAAAATGACTTTGCGGTGACATGGATTGGCGGAAAACTACGGAACCGATTTACTTCAAATTTTTTTTTAAATGTTCGTAATGAAATTCTTTTGTGTTTGAACGATCGACTTTTTACGCACAAACTTTTTTTTTCGCCGAAATAAATTTTATAGTGAAATTTCTAGAGACCAAAAAGTTCATTTTTAGCATAAAACGTTCCCGTATCCATACAAAAAAAAAAAATTTTTTAAATCGATCGTTCAAGCACAAGGAATTACACTAAACTAATGACATTTTTTTACTTTTATAGTTTAAGTTGACCTGTTCGACCTGGGGAACTGTTACCTCAAGGCTCTAAAAAAAAAAGCCTCTAAGGGAAACAGCCACCCCTTAAAAACTATTTAATATTTTTCCACCAAATGTTGCACAAACATTGTTAATAAAGTGTACTATCAAAAGTGTCGCTCCATACATCCATTGTTATTGTTACAGTTTTGTCTTGCAGCAATGTCTTGCTGCTTTCCTTTAACTCGGCGTTCTTATCGTCCACCCATTTCGTTATAGTAGCACGCGAAGGTATTTTGTACCTTGGTGAAACTGTTTTCATTAAATGGATGAATCCCTTGTTGTCTATTATGGAAAACGGTTGCATGCCTTTTCCAATCATAAAAACAATGGCATCGTTTATTTGTCACACGCGTAGGTCCGAAGAAAGGGGTACTTCAAAGGCCTTGGCTGTGGCGAACGGAACGTTTTATTCTATAAAATTCATAAATTAGTTAACAATTCAAATATTAATTCTTCTTCTTACCGCAGTGTGCCCTCCTACAATTCACAAAACAATGAGAAGCACTTTTCGGCGGCATTCACATTACAACTATTAGTAGGACCGTAATTCAAGATCGATAACTTAAAATACTACATTTCCTAATAATACTAACTTAACTATCGATAATGTTGTGACCGCCGACATCCCCGACCCCGTGAAGACCCGCTTCACTTAAATCCAAAACTGCAAGTTAAGAGACCGACCGCAACATTGTCCAAGATAGTCCATTATCATTTACGCGCACAGTGGCGCGTCTGACAACTCCATCAGCTCCGCTGTAGACCTCCTCCACGATGCCCTTGCGCCACTCTCGTCTGGGCAAGGCAGGATCGCAGGCGAAGACCATATGAGGATGAGAATTAAAAACCCACTCAATGCTCCTGCTGGATAACTCACTCTGTATCCTTTCCGTCTCGAACACATCTCCAAATCGTCTGGCCTCCCTGTCAGCTCCCACGAAGTTTTTGCCGTTGTCACTCCGCAGTTTACGTACTGGTCCTCTACGGCAGACGAAGTTCCTGATCGCTATTATACAGGAATCCGTTGACAGGTCATGCGCCAGCTCGAAATGAATCGCCCTGAGTCGAAATGAGTCGTCAAGCATGTAAACAGGGCGACCCAACGCTTCTCTCTGTGACGGGCAACAGTCACCAGCAGTGGCCCAAAGTAGTCCAGTCCTGTGTACTTGAATGGCCATCCTCCAGCTTCCAAGCGATCCTCTGGATCCATTATCGGCGGTATCGCCACGTTGCACGACGAGATTATCTCCTTCAGCACTCGTCTTATCTTCGTGACCCAGAATCTCGTCCGGATCCGGGCAATCGTCGCATCCACGTTTTGATGCTTCATCTGGGCGTGGTAGTGTCTTACTACCATCTCCGTGAGACTGTGCCTGTGTGACAGTATCACAGGCCTCCTCGCTCTGTACGGCATGAACAGCGCGGCATCGACTCTGCCATAAACTCGCAGAACTCCATATTTGTCCATGTACGGCGCCAGACTTCGAATCTCGCTCGAGTTGGCGAATTCCTTTCCGCGTTCCGCCGACCCCATCTCGTCGGGAAACGACTCCAATTGGGCCTGCCTGATTAACAGGTTCTCCGCGGCCTCACACTCCGTCGCAGTGAGTCCATATTCCTCGAGTTCGCTTCTCTGTTTGCGGCACCGTCGCGCAAATCTCAGAACCCAGGCTGTGGTTCTTACCAGGCGACTAAAGCTCGAGAACCTCTAAAACAGGATGACAAATTCATTCGATGCTACCAAAGCGAACTCACCGGGCATCTCCTCTTCGTCATGTGCGTCTGGAACATGCTCGGTTCCCTTCTCAGGCGTTGGCCAGCCGCTTTCTGGCTGCCTCAAAAATGCGGGACCGCTTAGCCACCGGGATTCCGGGCTAATGTCCGCCTTGTTCTGCGACCGCGTCGCATCATCCGCTGCGTTGTCGGCTGTAGGTACCCATCTCCACTGGGAAACCTTCGACGTATCCAAAATCTCCGCCACTCGGTTGCCAACAAACTGCTTGTAGCGGCGGTGGGTGCTGCCGATCCATTTCAGCACCGTTCTTGAATCCGTCCATAACACCGTCTCACTGATGTCCACGTTGTGTTTTTCCTTGACAGTGTTCATCACCCTAGTTCCAAGAACCGCTGCCTGTAGCTCCAGGCGTGGGATGGACATCGTCCTCATCGGCGCACACTTCGTCTTTGCACACACGAAGCTAACCAGCACGTTTCCGTCGTCGTACGTGACCCTCCAATAGGCCATCGCCGCGAATGCAGATTGACTTGCATCCACGAAAACGTGCAACTCGATGGTCCGAACTGCTCCACGTCGAAAATAGTGGCGAGGACATCGGAACTGTCCCACGGCGTTCTCTCTCTGCGTATCTCCTCCGGCAGTGGTTCGTCTCACTGGATCTTCTGCCTCCAGATCTCCCGCAGCAACAGCTTCGCTGTAATCATGAGGCAGCACAGGAACCCCAATGGGTCGAACGTTGACATCAGCAGGCTCAAATACTCCCTCTTTGTAGGGACTCGATCTCCACTCAGGACGCTTTTTGGCACTCGATGATACTCCACGTTGAACCTGAAGTCATTCGTTGCTACCTGCCAACGCATTCCAAGAATCTTCTGCTCAGACTCAATCCCATCCGACGCTCTTGATTTGTCCCAAGTGGTGGATTTGTCTTGAGTGGTCCCAACGCCGCTTCCACGATGGTGATAGATGATGGCTTTGACTGCCCTCGGATCTGAATCCCGAAACTTCAGGGCATTCACCGTCTTGACGTAATGCGCAGTGCTCGGCGAACAGGCAGCTCCAAACGTCATTACGTTCATTTCGTATACATCCGGGTCTCGATCGTCGTTGCCGTCTCTCCAGAGGAATCGTTGGGAACATCGATCCTCGGGTCGGATTAGCACTTGGTGGAACATCTCCTTGATGTCCCCGCAGACTCCGACTGCTCCTTCCCTGAAGTGGAAGAGCACAGCTGGCAAAGGCTTGTAATGCTGAGGCCCCTTGTCCAGCGCCGAATTGAGCGAGGTTCCTTCAACCTTGGCTACAGCATCAAACACAAGCCGGACCTTACCGGGCTTGTTTGGGTTTTCCACACCAAAGTGTGGCAAATACCAAAGCTTGTCGCTCTTCACCGCGACCTCATCCGGCTGCAGCTTCCTTGCATATCCTTTGGAAACGTAATCCTTGATGATCCGGTCGTATTCCAGCGCCAACTGCCCGTTGCGTTTCAACTTCTTCTCGACGTTGATCAGCCGTCTGTGCGCCATCTCATAGCTCCGTGGCAGCACAGCGTGATCGTCCTTCCAAAGCAATCCCGTCTGGTAGCGACGCCCCACTTTCACCGTGGTGTCTTCGAGAATCCTTTTGGCCCCCACGTCGTCGCTGGCTGCGACCGGTGGCGCGAGCTTCACACCAAAGCTTTCCATCTCGAAGTAGTCCTCCACCATCTTTTCCATCGTATCGTCCATTGACACGGCTAGAAGGCAGGACCTCGGTGACGGCGTAGTTGATTGTCCACTTACTGGCCCAAACACGACCCATCCAAGCTCGGTTGCGGCCGCATACGGTCCCTCTCTGGCAAACCGCCTCGTCCTAAGTGGCCATCCCAAATGTCCATGGTCCAGTCCGATGAGCAACTTCGGCACCACGTTGCTATATAGCTTCATCGGCAGTCTCGAATCCCTTTGCACGCCCTGGACATCTCGTCGACATAACGTCTGCTTCGGCAGACTCAAGTTTGAAACGGCGTACACGTTCTTCAACGGGTGGCGAGTGGGCTTCCCAGCTCCACTTATCTCCAGACTCACCACGTTGGTAGGCTCCCTGCTGGCTCTTCCTCCAAACCATTGGACGTTAAGCTGTCGATGTTCGCCTTGCAATCCCAGATCCCTTCGTAGCTCGTTGTCGATCATCGTGACGGAGGATCCTTCACCTAACAGCGCTTATGTGTCCACCTGGCGACCAGCTCTGTACAGCGTTACTGGCAGTATACGGAACACAAATCCGCCTCCTTCGACGTCAATGCTTAAATTCGTCTGCACGGGCGCCTCTGCTGGCTGCGGGGCCCTTCTCTCCAGGCTGTTTTTGAGGACGACCGACTGCTGGCTCCTCTCGTGGTCCCTGTAACCACCTCGTGGCGAAGACCCCCTGTTCGGGCTGCGTCTGGAAACTGCTGACGTCTGGTTTCCTCCGTTGTGGCGCCTGAAGCCACCTCGCTGCTCCTCTCCATGTTGCAGACGGTGATTAAATCTGCGGCATCCGTCGATCTGGCACTCGCGATGCACCTCGCAGGATCTGGTCGTATGCCCACTCCGTAAGCATGTGAAGCAGAGCCGATGCCTCTTCACAATGCTCCACCTGCCCGGTGGCGAAGCTCCAATGAATTCCCTGCAGCTCGTCGTAGCATGTTGCCCTCCACAAATTGGGCAACCTCCATGCCGGTCATCCCACTGCTCGTATCCGTTCTGTTCGACGCTCGCGTGTAGAACTCGACGCCTCGGCTCCTTTCCATCGACGTCCAAAATCGTACACACGATGTTCGCGTAATCCTGTAGCCACGCGCTGAAGTGCGATACATTGGGAAAGGGCTGGATCGATGCAGCGTGCCTAGCCCAATCCACTCGTTTGCTGGTGTGACGCTGTGCCACAAGCTCCTCCATGAGTGTGGGGTTTTCCAAATGTTGCTCCGCTTTCGTCGACTGCAAGAAGGCCGTGAGGTTACTCACTCTGGTTGCGAAGGGGACGATCCTCGCCAGTTGCTGCTCCGAAATCGGCGGCACCTCTCGCACGCTGTTCAGCTGGCTGCGTATAAGCTGCTCCGGTCGGCCAAACCTAAAGCGCAGCTGCTCCATCACGGCTCTAACGTTTGCAGGGTGAATCAGCAGCGACTTCACTGTCTCGCGTGCTTCATCCTTTAGCGCCTTCAACAGCCTCTGGTTGTTCTCTAGGTCCGTGCAGTTGTACGTTTGGGTCATCTCCACAAATGCACAATTAAAGATGGGCCAATCCTCTGCCTGCCCTCCAAATATAGGCAAGTCGTTAGCAACGGTGGTCCACTTCAAGATGGCGGCAGCGTGTACGCCCCACTGGTCGCACCGAAACTGTTTTATGGGTCCGGCCCGACCCCGTTAGTTGGGACCTCACCGTTCGATGTGGCGGTTAATGTGGCGGCTAATGGCGGTCCGCTCCACGATGGCGGCCGCTCCGACGCTTCACTGTTGGCGCCATTTGCGCTTGGGCCAACTGGGATTGGCGCGCAATTGGCGGTGCTTGTTGTTTCCAAGGCTTTGACCTTCTTCAGCTCGTTCTCCAACGCCGTAATCCTATCCAATAGGTACGCCGTGAATGGCTGGCTCACCTCCGGCTCTGAGCTCGCCGGTGCTGTTACAGTGCTCCTTGGTTGGGACGCTACTGTAGTCGCTGTAGTGGCTGGGCGAGAAATGGCCGCCGCCGTGGTTATGTTAACCCGCGGCCGGTTTTCTGCTGCACTACTCGCTGGCTGCTGATCCGCTCACGTTGTAGGGGTGGCTTCCCCTCCGTTCAGCCGGGAACTCCTCCTGGGGGAATGCTGCATCTCCAAGTATCCAAATAAATATGAAGCAAATATGGCGCTGCCCTAGCGCTCCAAAATGACGGACTCCAAAATAACGGACCTGTGCCGTCTGGCTGCTGCCGCTGATGCTCGGCGCTCCTTGCGCCTCCTGACCGCTGGTGCTTGGCGCTCCTTGCGCTTCCTAACCTGACGCTGGCTGGGTCTCCTGAACTGACGCCGGCTGCGTCTCCGTGTCGTTCTGTCGTACTCCGTCCGTACTCAGAGATCGGCGCTGGCTGCGCCCTCTATGTCGCTGGCTGCGACTCCTCTGCAGGTACGGGAACTGCGCTCCGTGCGCTCGTGACAATTCTCTAGCTGGTCGTCGAGCCGTCCTCCAGCGCATGTTGCCCTTGCAGTCTCCCTAGGACTGCGAATAAAAGATGTTGTTTTGTGAATTGTAGGAGGGCACACTGCGCCAAGGCCTTTGAAGTACCCCTTTCTTTGGACCTACGCGTGTGGGGAGCCGTTTAAGGCAACTCCACATGACACAAAACAACAATTGAGATTTGGGATGCCATTCTTTTTGTTTCATTACAGTCGATTTCTGCGTCATCTTTACTTACTTTGTGTACTGCACGCAGATGATCTTTTATGTTGGTAGTATTTCCGGACGTTTTTAACTCCTTTGCGCATATTTTACATTTAACACTAGGTGTGTTAATGTTTGTGAAATACCTCCAACAAAAGCTGGTCTTTGACGTTATTCTGGAATTTGTAATTGATATATATATATCCATTTAAAACTAATAACTATACTTACTTTGGCATTTCTAATATATTTTTTTAGTTTTTTACGAATCATTAAAGTTTAAATCAAATCAACCATAAAATCATTTAATCATTAAACTGGACACAATAGAAGCAGTGTTGTGAAATTAGAGACCGATGTTTCGAGAAAAAAATGCGGTCACACATTCACATACACGGGTATGTGAATCGTTCGTTCATCTTACGCTCATTCTCGCATTAAATGTTTTCTGTTTCTCAGTCTCTAAACGGAGCGCGATGAAGAAGGTTGGCCTGCGCTTCGGTTGATCTTTGTATGTATGCGTGTCACACATTCACATACATGGGTGTATGTGTGCGTGCGATTTTGTTTCGAAGCCAGCGCGCAAAATTTGGATTCTTGTTACTTTTCAGGCTTGCTACCCTAACAAAATTCGGGTATTCGTAATTGAAATGATGAAAGAAATTATATTATTTGTTATATTATATTTTTTACTATTTCAGCATACATTTTTAATTTATTTAGGAATAAGATTAAGTGTTAGTAGTAAAATGTTTTCTGTATATATATTTTTAGGAATCATTAAAAATCAATATACTGAGAAAGTGTCAGAGTATATTTCAGTCGGAGTCACTTTAAACGCCGATTGCTTTTAAGTTTTTGTTGTTCTGCAAGAGGCTTGTGCATGCCTACTCCAACGATGGAATGATTTTTAGGGGAGGGTGAAGACACGAAAACAGCTGATGGACTTGTTTACCTTTTTTGTTTACAATTTTTCAGGCACTTGTTATTAATTTGGGTTATTGTGAGATTTAATTAAATTATTGTCGTTAATTTAATAATTTCCTTATATATTTTGGAACTTTAAAAAAGTCGCCGCTGGAATTTGTTACAGATATATATACATATATGTCGGAGAATTGCAGTCTTCTCCACGCCGGCCCGCACCAGTCGCCTGATCGCTAGCTTGCTGCTCCTCCATTTCAAGTCCTGGATGGTGTTGCGAGTCTTCGTTGCCCTTGTTGCTCTTAGTCGCCACTTACTCAACAGTCCTCAGCACCACGTTAAAAACAGAACGCCACGCTAAAGCTCGGAACGAATAGCAGTAACGAGTGAAAAATAGAGAGACCAGATCCAGCAACACAACGTAGCCACACACGGCCTCAGTTCGCAAACTGAGTCCCCATCATACCAGAACTGGTATAGCCTACCACTACCTATGGTCACACCATAGTCTCGGTCTAACAAGAGACTGACTTGTCTCCTCTCCGACACGGGTATCCTGACATATACACGTCCTCGTGTCTATAATAAACATCTGAATTTCATTCCACTTTATAATTATACCCTTGCAGAGGGTATTATAATTTTGGTCAAAAGTGTGCAACGCAGTGAAGGAGACATCTCAGACCCTATAAAGTATATATATTCTTGATCAGGATCACCTCCTGAGTTGATATGAGCATGTCCGTCTGTCCGTCTGTCCGTCTGTCTGTCCGTCTGTCTGTTTCTACGCAAACTAGTCTCTCAGTTTTAAAGCTATCGTCTTGAAACTTTGCACACACCCTTCTATCCTTTGCACGCAGTATATAAGTCGGAACGGCCCGGATCGGCCGACTATATCCTATAGCTGCCATATAACTGATTGATCGGAAATGGTATAACTTTGGTGTTTTTAGAGTTAGAGAGTTCAAATTTGACATGAGAGCTATTTTTGGCAAAACATTACGACATGCCAAATTTCATAAGGATCGGCCGACTATATTCTATAGCTGCCATATAACTGATTGATCGGAAATGACCCAACTTTCGTGTTTTTGAAGATAGAAAGCTGAAACTTGGTACAGATTATATATTTGGTCAGTTGATCCGACCTACCAAATTTCATTAGGATCGGCCGACTATATCCTATAGCTGCCATATAACTGAACGATCGGAAATGGTATTTGGTAGAAATATCAACTTTCGTATTTTTGAAGATAGAAGTTTGGGACTTTTTTAGATTTTGTATTGTAATACATTGGAATATATATTCCTATTCCCATAAGGATCGGCCAACTATATCCGATGTTGGCGATATATATCCGGTTTTAACTGCAAGGGTATATCAACTTCGGCTCCGCCCGAAGTTAGCTTTGCTTTCTTGTTTTTATTTGCTTCCAAAAACTTAACCACATAATCTCAAATTTGTATGATGTTTCCTTAACTTAACTTAACTTAAGCCAAACACATGGCTTTACAAATTCATTAATCATATTACTCGTCCATCGCCCAACACTTGGCTTCACGATTTCATCAAACACATTACTCGTCCATCGCCCAACACTTGGCTTCACGAATTCTCTTTTTCAACAGACTTTTCCAAATGGCTTTGTTCTTTGTAATTTATATCAAGCTCTTCTGGAATTTGCACATCCGGTAACTTTCGCAAACTTTCGTGTGGGTACTTGTAACGCCTATTGTTCTGTGTAGACTTTAAAACGTATCGATCTCCCTCCAATACCTCGACCACCAAAAAGGGTCCTCTGAATTTAGGATCTAGTTTTGTTTGTTGTCTCTCGCTGTTTTTAAGCAGCACAAAGTCCCCCACACAG